ATATATATATATATTATATTAAATATGTGGTCAAGTAATAGGAAAAATCATCATGATATCCCACAAGAATTACAAGATATATGATTATTAATTGACCAGAAAGCTGGTGTAGATGTACATTTTTTAATTTTAATTTTTATAATTTGAATTTCATTTTAATTTTGATAAGAAATCTATATTTTTGTTTTAGTTCAAATGCTTTCCATATTTGGACGAACAATTGAGGGTTTGTATCCCACCTAACCATAGTGGGATATTGAATATATGGGTGGCGGTTGTGCCCCTTATTTGTTATGTTATTGTTGAGTGATATCTGATTGATCGTTTGTTTCGTCAGTTTGAGTTTACACAATTTATTCCATAAGCACCAATGATCCTCAACAATATGCATAACATCAATAGACGGGGCAAGAAAGAGGTAAATTGGTTGGTGAAACATAGAGATTGGTTGACGATGTAGAAGAACTGACATCAACGCTTGTCCTATCGACAATATATAATAGAAACCGGTTTGATGGTTTTAGATGACTATATTGAATAGTTCAACGCAAATGGGAAGTCATTCTTACTTTCAGCGGAAGCACGAGGGGGGAAATTAATCGTCGTCGACAAAAACGTCCGACATCACAACATCATCGTCCTCCCACTACTGGACGAAGAGCAAGTGCTTCCAGGTCATCCTCAGCTATGCCACAAACCTTCACACCAGCAACCAAGGAAGTCGATTTACATCCCTAGCCCTCCAATTCACATAGGGACACCACCGTTTCAGGCACCACCACAACCGGTTCAGATGCCACATCCGCAAGTCTAAATGCCATATCCATCGGTTCAGATGCCACCATTGTTTGGTTACACACATAGCCCGCATGGTTTTATGACATTCACTGGTAGATATTTTTCGATTATGCTTATGGATCCATCATTTAGTTCCTACACAAATTATGTTGTGGGTGGTCATCAACCATAAACACCTCAACCACAGTATATGTCACAGACATCGATGTCTGGTTTTTCATAATTTTCACAATTTTCAGCTAGTGGTAGGATCATCAGTCATACACCTCCGGGGTCCTTATTATACAGAGGTCATATATCAACATTCAACCCTTATCGAGACAATGTTGTTGAAAGTGATGATGACGAGGAGGGGGAAGATAAGGATGACAACAATGGAGACGAAGAAGAGCAACATATAAGAAGAAATCTTCCTAGAAGTAGACGACAACCACCCTGTGGAACACATTCCATGAGACATCGATGTATATGAGTCTTTCAGAACAATCTTTTTATTTATCGTATGTTTACTATGATGTATTTTCCTCTTATTTTGTTTTTTATTATGTATTTATATGAAGTAAGATTTTTCCTCTTAATTGGTTTTTGCCTCTTATTTTGTTTCATTATTTTGTATTTATATAAAGTAAGTTTTTGTATGATGTTTAATGTCTTTTTACGAACAAGGACAAACAAGACACAATAATTTGGGTACGCTCATTTTATATGACAACTTCTTAATGTCTATATATGTGTGTGAGGTGAAAGCTCATTTTAATATATTCATACAAAAAATTTAGCTATTTAGCTAGGATGGCTATTATTCAAGCAAATATTTTTTTATTTCAAATATTTAAGCATGTCTTTCAACAAAAAAAATCACTTGAGAAGTTGAAGCTTAAAATAGAAAGAAAGGTTAAACTCAGGAGGAAAAAAAATCTCTTTATTATATTATATATTGTCATTATCATTTAAGAGGTTTCTTCTAAGCGATGATGTTGACCTTTGTAGTATGTAACATAATACTCTCATTATGTATCTCATGTGGATTTGTTTGTAGATTTTGAGGATGTTGATGATGATGCTTCGAGTTTGACTACCCAAAAATTAAGCAGAATGAGTTTGGGAACATATAGATAGATGATAAATACCCGAAATCATGGTTCAAATGCAATTGGGCATCGTAATATCATTAAGAAAAGTTTGTTTTAGGTGTATGTGTAAGCTTTTATTTACTATTTTAGATGTATGTGTATACTTTTATTTATTGTTTAAGGTCTGTGAAATATGTGTGATATTTCTGGTTCGTTGGTTTGGTATGCTTCATGTCATGTTTAATAGTTTGTTTTTTAATGTAGTGTTTATGGTTTGTTGTTTTTATAGTTCACATCTATAACAATACAAACCTCTAACACACATGTATGAAGATGACTATGATGCGATGTGCAAGCCAAAATTTCCCGATATGCCTCATCTTGGAGACTATTAGAGGCATTCATCAGTTAATGATGGTGATTTATATCGTGGAATGGAGTTCATATCTAAAGAATAAGCAATGATGACAATTAAGAATTATAATATTTGTAATTCAATTTAGTCCAGAGTCAACCGATCTACCATTGAAAAGTATGTTTGTTATTGTATCCAACGTGATAACGGCTACAATTGGATAGTTCGTGTTTCAAAGAGGAAGGAGACCGGTAGATGGAAACTAACAAAATACAACGATCCCCATACATGTTCTGCACAGGGGATCAACCAGGACCATCCAAATTTGGACTCCAACATGATTTGCCAAGCCATTATGAAGATTTCTGCAATACAATATCAATATGGGTACACCGTCTCCTATTGTAGTGTTGATTTATGCAATACAATCTCAATATAGGTACACCGTCTCCTACAAAAAACATGGAAGGTAAAACAGCATGCCATTATAAAATTACACGGTGAATGAGATTCATCTTACAACGAACTACCCAGTTCGTTTAACCTGGTTCAACGACTGAATCATATGACAATAGTTGAGTTTGAAGCTCGCCATATCTACCATAATGATTGAATTATTCGAGATCGATGACAATTCCACCGTATTTTTTTGGACTTACCCACAATGCATTAATGTAGTGAAATATTGTAAACTCGTTGTCCAAATTGATGATACATTATTATATGGAAAATACAAACAAGTTTTATTATCGACAATTGTCCAAGATGGTAATCGTAACATTCTTCCCGTTGCTTTTGCACTTGTTGAAAGAGAATATACAGAGTCTTGAGTTTTTTTCCTAAGATATCTACAATTACATGTTATTACGAGGGAATGTATTTGTATCATTTCAGACTGAGGAGCTGGGATCAAAACAATAATGGACTCTTTTGGTCCAATATGGAAACCCCATCAAAGCAACAATAGACTCTTTGGGTTCAATATGGAAACCTCCACATGTCCATCATCGTCTTTGTATCCGACATATTACTGCAAACTATCATGACATATATAAGAAGAATGATGAACGACAATTAATTATACGCATGGGTATGTTACATTTTTCTCAATTTTATTTCTCACTTATTTTCATTTTTTATACTAAATACTTAATTTTGCTTAAGTTACGAACTCTCACCTCAAACGTTTGAGGTTATGCTTCAAGAATTGCGAGGAAGAAATGAACATGGATACAATTACATTAGTGAAATCAAAAAAGAAAAGTGAACAAACACATACGATAGTAGATATCGATATGGACATATGACAATCAACTTGGTTGAGGCAATCAATTCAACCTTAAAGGGGGCCGTCATTTACCAGTAATTGCTTTGGCTAAAATGATGCATTTTTTGTTTGGGTCAACTTTTTGCCAAGCTTGGGGGACAAGCTCTTACTTGGATACAAAACGATCATGTTTATCACCCACGATTAGTAGCAGATTTGAATCAAAAGGTTGCAGGATCAAACAACATGTATGTAATAAGCTTTTCTCACACCCAAGAATTATGTCGGGTCACAGAAATGCCACGACCTCTGCAAGGGATTGAATCTAACTCTTTCATAGTTAATCTACGAGATAGATGCTGTGACTGTGGGCTTTTTTAAAGCCTTGAAGCATTCATGCTCCCATGTCATAGTAGCTTGCTCATTTTCTCGTCAAGACTATAAGTATTATGTGGATCCTGTATACCAACTTTCACAAGTATTCAATGTATATGAATATGAGTTTCCCCCCTAGGTAATGACAAAGACCTAAATGAGGTTCAGACTTGACTTCCAATTATACCATATTCATACTTATTAAAGGAGCTAGGTTATCCAAAATCCACTCGAATTCATTGCGATATGGATATTCAAGAGGCGTCAAGACAAAACTTAAGATGTGGCCATTGCAGAAATCTCAACCACAATAGGAGAAACTACACATCTCTTTCATCATCACATAACCGTTGACCACCATTCATGTAATCATATTTTCTAATGTTTCAACTTATATTATTTGATTTTCTTTTAGTTTCAATTAATATGATTTCAACTTGTTTAGTTTACAAGATGCACCTTTTGTCTATCTATATAATTTTTCAATTAAATGTTTAACGTTTATTTCTTACAATCTAACATACAATCAATTATAATCCTAAACTTCTTTAAAAACCCTAAACCACTAAAAAGTCCCTAAAACTAATTACAAAACCCTAAAACCACTTTAACATAAAACCCTAAACCAGGCATGTGAGGCACGTTCTGTACGATGCACCATTCATAAATCTCATGGAAAGTGTGTTTCATACGACGTGCCTTCCCTCCCCCGACTAAGGCGCGTCTCTTGCCGTGCGCCTCCTTCTCTCTCCTGAGAAAAAGATGTTAGATCGAGAAATAATTAGGAAAGAGTGTTTGATAGGTAATATTTTTTTAATAGGGTGAATTTTTGGGCAAATTGCCAAAAATTAACTGCTGACGTTCTAACAGACGTACTTACGCGTGCTGAGAACTGTTTGAAAACATAGGTAATGAATGATTTGCATGGGATTTAACTGTGGTTAATGAATGATTGGATCTTTTGCAGATCTTATAGAATAAGCATATAATGTGAAACACGGATTTGCATTTTGTAATAATATTCAACTAATGTAATGCCAAAATAATACACCTGTAAGCCCCCCCAGATGACAAGTTGTAAAGTACCTATAGAAAGGCTTCTTGAAACTTCTTCCAAGTAAAACTAGGATACAGCTGAAGTACAGCTAGTAAGGATGAATGATTGACGTATCTAATAGTAATACCTTAAGGTTTTATTTTAGTAAAATTAATGTGGTAGAAGACAACATTAACAAATGAATGAAACTGAAGTGATATTCCTGGAAATAACTAAATGCAGCAGCAAGCAGAGGACAATACTCGGTTCTAGTCCCGGAACCTGCTTTTAATAGGCTCAGGTTCGCTTGTTGGGTTCGAAGACATACTTAACCAGTGATTCCTTGATCGATAGCAGATCAGGGAACTCTTTCCTCAGCTTGGATGCGTCCATTTCGTTATTGCTTCGAGGGGCGACGATCACCTTGGCTTGTTCCTCCAATGTGAAGTTCACCCACTGAAACTTGGGGTCAATGTATGCCTTGTACATCTCCAGGATCTCGTTGTGGCTCACAACACCAGGGTTTGTGAAGTTCCAGATACCCTTCAGGTTCCTTTTCGCCATCTCGATTGAAATCGGCAGGAGTTCATCCAAGACTGTCATGCTGTTGGGAATGTTGACTACCTTGTTGTAGCGTGAAATCTTGGTGATGAAGTTGCGAGGGTTGTTTAGGTCAGATGAAATCGGCATCCGAACTCTTAGAGTGCAAACATTGTCGTATTCTTTCAACAGCTCTTCAACCTAGAATGGAGGATATTTATGAGATCTTAAGACATAAACTAACAGACAAAATGAATCAGATTAAAGATATAGAACATACCATAGCTTTGGTCTTTGAATAGAAGGATCCAATGAAATTGGGTTTATCTTCCTCTTTATACCCAATGCCAGAGCCCTCGGGATGTCCTGCATCATACTCGAATATACACCCGGTAGCAAAATTCATCATCAAAAGCCCATGTTCTCTGCAAACATCTGCCAAGGTCAAGGTCCCAGCCACATTGGTGCGGATTGTTTCGGTTTTGTGAGATTCACACCAATCAACATTGGGCCTACCGGTCACACCAGCAGCATTAAAAACAAGGGTTGGCTTTATATTCTGAATATCTGCCATCAGTGATGAGCGATCTTCCAAGCGCCCTCTTCCATATTCAAAGGGAATACCTTGTTTCTCACATAACTGACCAAGTAGACCTCCAATCCAGCCGGTCCTGCCATAGATCAAGAACTTCAAGCCTGATTTTGGGGGAGAACTACTAGTTTTGGAGGTTGGAACCACCATTCGAGTCTGATTAGAACCAGTTTCATATGATGAATCTTTTCCTTCTTCAGAATCGAAGTGTTTACCACCAGGCATCATCAGCATTCTTGGATGTGGAAGCAGTGCACCGGACACATCACCCCACCAATCAGGATTCTGAGTGAACCATTCTATGGTCTTCTTCAACCCCTCTTCCCATACTGTTCGCTCAGACCATCCCAAGTTCTTCAGTTTCTGATCATCAAGAAAATACCTCTGGTCATTGAATGGTCTGTTTTCGACAAACTGGATGCTAGTCTCGGGATCCATAGAAAATAGTTTACATATATCTTTGGCCACATCAATCACTCTCCTCTCCTTCTTTGTTCCAATATTATAAACATGGCCAACTTCACCCTTCTGAAGAACGACTTCAAATGCCTCAGCCACATCCTCACAATACAAATAACTCCTCACATTAGACCCATCCCCATGAATTGGAAGAGTCTTCCCTCTCATTGCTAAGAGAATAAACTTTGGGATTAATTTTTCAGGGAACTGGTTGGGACCGTAAACATTGTTTCCACGGGTCGTAATCACAGGTAATCCATACGACCTACCATATGCCATTACAAGCATTTCAGCACCAGCTTTTGTAGCAGAGTATGGATTTGTTGGCAGAAGTTGGGAAGCCTCATGGTTTCCTACAACAGCATCCTCTTCTGTCTCCCCATAAACCTCATCTGTGCTTACATGGATGAACCTCCTGATTTGGCCAGTGACTTTGCAAGCTTCAAGCAGAACATGAGTTCCGTAGATATTGTTCTTGGTAAACTCAAAGCTGTTGCCAAATGAATTATCAACATGAGTTTGTGCTGCAAAGTGCATGATTGTGTCAATAGACTCGGTGATGAGGAGGTAGTTGACAAGGTCAGCACTGCCGATATCACCCTTCACAAACTTAAAGTTTGGAGATGACTTGGAGGGAAGGAGGTTTTTCAGGTTCGAGCAGTAATCAAGCTTGTCAAGCAAAACAATCTTGTAGTCTGGGTAGTTTCGTATGAGCCGATTAGCAACATGCGAAGCAATAAACCCAGCAGCCCCAGTTATGAGGATGTTCTTAGGGGTATAATTAGCCATAGTGGTTTATATTCTGCAAAAACAAGAAACAACAAGCTAACTTCAGAAGTATGGAGAAACCTAATAAAAATCAGCATCAACTTGCATAAACAAATAAATAAAAATCTAAGCATAGAATTCAATTACCAAACCTAATGTAATCATATAAAAATATAAAAGTGCAAACAAAAACAAAAACAAACGGTAGATCACCACAAGCAGAGTCAACAAAATTCCATCTTTACAGAATATTCCACCAGATCACATTCTATATAAACAATACAAGGAAGAAGAAACAAGCAACCTTAAAAATAGATATGACAGCAAAATAGGTGGATCAGGCCATCCAACGCAATCAAATCACGTTATATCTCTTCTCTTTTTTAGCTTCGGTCCATGAAATCAAACATGAACTGAAAACTATCTAAAACTGCCATTTCACTTTTGCAATCGTAGCTAAACAAGAAACGACTGAAATGATCCATAAGTTCAGTACTTCAGCAACCAGATCCACCTCAATTACCAATGTAAAAAAATCCAGATCTTTTAAAAAAAATCCAGATCTTTTAGATCCCATTTCATTCGTATATTAGCAGAAAGAGATCCGGATCCGATAAATAAGCAAATAAATGCAGCCAAAGAAACAGCTAAAAGAGAAAAAACAAGACATGAAATTTTCTCACATCTTAGAACAGATCTAACGGAATTAAGAGATACGTAGATCCTGATAACATTTGATCTTCCACCAAATCACACTATAAAAAGAAGGAAAATGAGAAGACTTTGACTTACAGTATGAAGAGAAATCAATCAAACTCCAGGCGGAGAAAGGCAAAAAGAACGCAGAAATATATAACGAGATTTCAGAGGAGAAGAGAAACAGCCTCGAAGGAGAGGGAAATTGCAGAGACTCCATGAATACGTCTAGCCTATTTATATAGCTCTAAATAACAGTTAAATGCGAGCCATGAAAATATACTGTACTTGCCAAAAGTACCCTTATGAATTAGTATATTAACTACTGTCATGCTTCTTGTGTGGACTATAAAGTATAAGGGTTAGTTGTGGAATGAAGAAAAGTTGAGATTTTAATTTAAGAGCTGGCCGATATGACGTTGATGATAATGATGTGGGGTTAATTGTTGATTTAATTAGAAATTCCTTTAGAAAATAGGATAAACCCTCGATTATAAGGTATTATTTTATTAAATTCATCGATTATTAAAAGTTATAAAATAATCTTTCAACTAAAGAGTGTTGATTTGTTGAGTCATTCGACTATTAAAAGTTATAAAATGATCACATGACTATTTATTATGTTCTAAATCCGTCATTTTTTGTTAAAAAATTGATGGTATTATGAGTTGAACGTTAACCTGCTAACTGTGATATGATGAAATATGATCTCAGAATCTCAAGCGACTATCATATCCCAGTTATTATGATAGTGTCCAGCTCAAACGACCGCCAATTTCTTAATAGAAAAGGACGTGTTTGGAATATAATGAATAGTCGTATGACCATTTTGTAACTTTTAACAGTTGAGGGACTCAATAAAGCAACACTCTATAATCGGATGATCATTTTATAATTTTTAACAGTAAAAAGACTTAAAAAAATAGTATCTTATAATCGGGGATCATTTGCGTACTTTACCCTATAAAATATTGGACAAAATAAGTGAAAGGTTAATAAATTATATTTAACTGGACATTTTGATCCATAGATTTTTAAAAATTATCAAATTGTTATAGTTTTGTCAAACTATTCTAATTATATTTTATTGATTTTTTTACGAAATATTCATTAAATTTATTAAACCTTGACATTTATTGTAATGTTGCAATGAATATTTTATAATATTTTAATAAATATAATGATTATTTTATAAGTTTTAAAAGTTAATAATCAAAACAACGATTCAAATATAGTTGAATGATCGTATGGTGTGTTTTAGCCAAACGTATTCAAAGAAATTTTGTTTCCATTTTTTTACGAAGATTCCTTTCTTTAATTGTTGTTTATATTGTTTGGTAAACTTCTTGCTTGTAAAGAATATTTTTTAATTGCAATTCTTTTTCAAGGTTTAATTAATTGAAATTATTGACTGATTTGGACAAGTCTTTCAATTTGGTTTGACTAAATAGGATTAATTTATTTTAAAACAAATTATATAAAAACTTAAGATGGTAACATTGACACCACCGTGTAATAAGTTTAGCTCTACTATTGGACTTTATGCAGCATTGTTTTTTTTAGCAAAAAGCATCAAAGGTCCTTGTATTTTTGAAAAAAATCAATGTGACTCCATATTATTTTTTCTTTCAATGTGGCTTTTTTACCAACGTTTTTTGTCGTTGTGCTGACATGAAAGTCCACGATGGTTGATAAAGTGGCGAATAACATGACATATAAACTAAATTGGTAACTCAAACATGACAGATAGACTGTCAAATCAACACTGTTGATCGCCACATTAGCACCGTAAGCTATCACATCAGCACTGTAATGGTCAATGAAGAAAAACATTGGTCAAAGAGCCAAATTAAGTTTGTTTTATGAGTTAGAGGGTCACATTGAGAGAAAAATAATACGAGGACCACATTAATTTTTTTTAAGTACATAGACCTCTAATGCCTTTTGCTTTTTTTTCTTAACAATATTGATTTTAGTGATGTTATCAAATTGGCTTTAATTTTTAAATCAGGCAGTGACTAAATTCCTAACCTTAAAAATAGAGGTATTAAGTATCAAAAGTTTGAAGAATATAGGGATTGAAGTCATAATTAAACCAATTTATAACTTTAAGACTTTGCACTATTTAACTGGAACTTAATTTCATAATATTTTTATTAACAAACAATTTACTTTAGAGGATTATGATGAAAATCCAGAAACTTCGTTGGAATTTCATGTGGCCCTAATTACTTAAATATACAAATAATAAATAAGTGTTTAAGACATAGCAGGCAAAATTCGATGTCACATTTCAATTCCAATTGAGTTTGACACTTGGGTAAACTACACATTTAATATCTAAACTATTAATTTTGATCTATTTTAGTATTTAAAATTTCATTTCTTTTAAGTTATACCTAACATTTAGTTTTCATTTCATTTTAGCATTCGACCCTTAAAAACTTAACGCATTTAATACATAAACTATCAATTTTGATCCATTTGAATACCTAAACTTTCGATCTTTTCTAAACTTAATGTTAAATTTTGAGCATGTACTAAAATGAAACAAAAACGAAATACTAAAATGAAACAAAAACTAAACTTTAAGTATAGTTTTATTTTTTTAAAGTTAGGTACTAAAACAGACTAAAATTGATAGTTTGTGTATTAAAAGCGTAATTTACCCTTTAATTTTATCGATTGTGAATTAATTAATTTCTAATTATATTAAAAAATGTTTCTTAAATAATATAAGTTTTTTTATTCAGTTGAGTAACGTAGTTAAAAATGTTAAACCAATTTGTTTTTGTTTTGATTATTAGAGTAACTGTTAAAATGTTAAACCAGTTTAATTTCCTTGGATTTAATTAATTGGCATGTATGGTAACGCCGTTCTTTTTAATTGAACGTGTGAATAGTTAGGGGAGAGTCATTGCATTTAGAGGTTGCAACTGCCATTAGGCAACTTAGGACCCTTTACAAGGGTTTTTGTACCATTTGGCTCTTCGGAATCGATGTTTCGTCCGCCGGCCATCGCCAGCATTCTCGGGTGAGGGAGCAATGCACCGGACACATCGCCCCACCAATCGGGATGTTTGGTGTACCAATCCATGGTCTTCTTCAACCCATCTTCCCATACAACACGTTCGGACCATCCCAAGTTTTCAATTTCTGATCATGAGAAAATACCTTTGGTCATTGAACGGTCGGTTCTCGACGAATTCGATGCTCGTCTATGGATACATCGAGAAAAGCTTGCATATATCTTTGGCTACATCGATCACTCTCCTTTCCTTCTTTGTCCCAATGTTAAAAACATGGCCAACTTCACCCTTATGGAGAATGACTTCGAATGCCTCGGCTACATCCTCACAGTATAAATAACTCCTCACATGCAAACCGTCACCGTGAATTGGAAGAGCCTTCCCCCTCATTGCTAATAGGATAAACTTCGGAATTAGTTTCTCGGAGAACTGGTTCGGGCCATAAACGTTGTTTCCCCGAGTCGTAATCACAGGCAATCCATACGATCTACCGTATGCCATAACAAGCATTTCAGCACCGGCTTTCGTCGTGGAGTACGGGTTTGAGGGGAGAAGTTGGGAAGCCTCATGGTTTCCCACAAAAGCATCCTCATCTGTTTCCCCGTAAACCTCGTCGGTGCTCACATGAATGAACCTCCTGATCTGGACAGTGACTTTGCAAGCTTCAAGCAAGACCTGAGTACCATAGATATTGTTCTTGGTGAACTCAAAGCTGTTCCCGAACGAGTTATCGACATGAGTTTGGGCCGCAAAGTGCATTATCGTGTGAATTTGGTGAATATTTCCTTTATCTTTTCAGGGTCCATAATTGTCACCCTTGGCCATGAACCAATCCACATAAACGAATCCTTTCCTGTATTTCCTCACAACAAATCCAGACTTTTAATAAACAAGTTTCTGGTGCCATGAAATTGCAGATCAATGTAAAATTACCATATTTGTTGAGAAATTGATGAAGAAAAGGAGTAACCCATAAGGCTCAATATCATCACCAAGAGGCATAGGTTTGGTTCTTGTTTGTTTTCTCATAGAAATCATCTGCTTGAAGTCTCCAGATAGAGAACTGTAAGGGGTTCCTCTGAGACCCTGCTGTCTCAAGCACCGTTCGAGCCTCTCTGGGGTCAGCCATGCCCAGTTCAAAACTCTCCATCCCCGAATCATCAATAGCCCAACAACAACAAAACAAACCAAATCTCTTGTTATTACAGGGTGAGCTTCCATGTTTTCTTTTTCTGTTTTGAGTATGAGAAATGGTATCTGCAAATTTGAGGTGTTTATGGAAAGCTAGAAGCTCAGGTCTGGTTTACTCACCTTATATCTCTTTTATAAGCTTCTTTTTAGGGGAGAGATTTTGGCAAGATGATGATTGAATATTATGCTCTGTTTTGAAAATCGGACCGGATCGGTCGGTTCAACTGGAAATTGTTGTTTAGTCTGGTTCAATTTAAACTGGTTGAACCGTTATTAGTGAACTGGTCAGAACCGTTGAACCGTTCGAACCGGACCGGCTGAAAACCAGAAAAAACCGGGATTTTTGTTTTTTTTTAAAAAAAAAAATTAAACCAAACAACGTCGTTTGTTAAACGAGCCAAGTCGAACTCGAGTATTGCTGAGCTCGACTCGAACTTGAAAACTTTAAAAGTAAGCTAACTCAACTCAAACTCACAAGCTAAAAATTATCAAGTTCAACTGAAACTCGAAATATAATATTGAAACTTGAACTCAAAAAGGCTTGAACTCAAAAAAAAATTAGAAACTCAATTGAACCCTAAAATTCGAGCTTGATTGAAGTGAAAGAATAGTTCACTCAATGCTCACCAAAAGGTTCAATGATTTTGAATGTCAAATTACCTCTATTATTTATAGAAGTTAGTTGTGATGCGCTTATATGTTTCTTAGCAATGTGAGATTGTTTTGTTTTCATATTTTTACTCTTTAGACTTTTTAGATGCTCTTCTATGTTTCTTAGCTATGTGGGATTGTTTTTAAAAAAAAATTAAACCAAACATATCATTTTGTTATGATTTTTTTAACCCCAATTTTTTTTTAATTATAGTTATATAATTATATTTATTATTTAATATGTTTTACCTTAAATATTATGTTGTAGTTAATTTGAATCATTTTGTTTCATTTGATTTTATGATTTTTTAACTTATATATGTTATGACTTGCTTTGAATATGACTTGTGATATAAAAA